GCGGGAGCTGGAGGAGATGATCGAGAACCTGGAGCCGCACACGGACGACCCCGACGTGAAAGGTACGGGCCAGGGCGCGGGAGAGGGCGGCCCTGCCGATCGCGCCGGTCCCGCCAAGCCTTGCCGTTCTGGGGCTGGGCGTCGGGGAGTCCAACCTGCCGTTCAAAATCCGTGATACCCCCCAACTCGTGGGCAACACATTGTGTTTAAAACGTGTTCCGTGGTCACCAACAGGACACGCCGAGACATCGTCTCAGTAGGAAGCTTGTCTTTGGAGGGCCGAGGACATGCCAGGCTCAGCTACGAATATTACTCTTAACTGAACAGCTGTCCGCCGGAAGTCTTAACTGGCACGAAGAGAAACTGCCGCAGAGATTCAAGCACAGGATGTGGATTGGAAAGATTCTTTAAATGCATGTCAAGTTTGTACGTTTGCTGGCGATGGTTTTTTTTTTCCCCCCGAATTCTTTCAGATTTGTAGTGTGCCTCAAGGCCGTATTGCAGAAATGAATGGGAAGGAATAGTTTAAATAATTGCAGGTTTCTGGTTTTGGAGTTCGTCAATACCGTTTAATCACGTGGAGGCTGTGTGGAATGATAATGGCAAGCAGGCAGTCAGCACTCGGGCTCCACGCAGTGTGCCAGCAGCCAAACGATTAATTCCACACGAGTTGCTGGTATGTCTGCCGCTTATATATATTTTTTATATTAAGAAAAAAATCTGTAACTATTAATCGTAGTTGTGTTCTTGTTCAAGCAAAATGGCGCCTACTAGTTAGCAATTTTTGTAACGGGGAGACAATATGATGAATAAAGTGTTAACTCTTTTTGTTTGATGCTGTTGGTTCCAGTTACCATAAATATTGTAATTGGCGATTTCAGGTTTTGTATTTGGGAGACTGATTGATAGCCTGATGGATGGATAGGTTTGTTTTGTAGCCCGAGTGACTGTATTTGCGTCTGGCTCAGGCTGTTGGCAGCGTGAGATTTAGCTGCACAGAAAAGACGGGTTTTAACTAGCAAAGCCATGTACTTCCCAGATGGGAACTTCGCCGCTGCTTGTTGAAAGGAGGGTGAGAACATCTCGGTTGGGCTGTGAGGGGAAAAAATGCAGTTTTCACAATAGTTTTTCAAGTGTTTTTTTCCCAGACATGAAGTAGCTTGAATGCAGCTGGGAGGAGAGGTTGGTCGTGCACCGGGCCACAGTCCGAGAGCTCGGTTATCTGGAGTGGCCAAGGCCCGGTGCGGTGTTTCGAGGATGTGATGTACATGACTTCATTTCTGATCGCTTTGTGTTCTCAACTCTGCTGGTGGT